ATAATTCATTTATCCATTATTAGTAATTCATTTATTTGCATAGGCCAATGCAACTTTACATAACTATCACACAAATAGAATATGCTCTTTTGCAGAATAGTTACTTTCAAGTTCTTTTTTTAAAAAAGATTTATTTATTTATTATGTATACAGTGCTCTGTCTGCATGTATGCCTGCAGGCCAGAGAAAGAGAGCACCCATTATAATGGCGGTGAGCCACCATGTGGTTCCTGGAAATTGAACTCAGGACCTCTGGAAGAGCAGCCAGTGCTCTTAGCCTCTGAGCCATCTCTCCAGCCCCTACTGGCAAGTTTTATAACCTGAATTATAATTACCTTGTTTAAGGCATGCCCAACATGAGGGTCACCATTTGCATAAGGAGGTCCATCATGAAGACAAAATTCCGTCTTTACTTTTCTTTCTCTTTGCCAGGAATAAAGCTCTGAAAACCCACATTTCTGTTTAAAAAATATATATGTTTACATATCACATAAATACATGCTATGGAATCTTATCGATCCTCAGATACTATTGATTCCATTCCAACCCATTCAACTCAGAAATGTAACTGGAAACATTTCTGGAAGGAACCGGTATTGAACATTTTCAGTACTCTTCCCGCCCCCAATAATCCTTCAGATTCTAGATGACAGAGGGGCTCTAAATTCTTGGCAAGTCTCTCAGCATCCACTGCCTCAATCCAGCCCTGAGACCTGTCCATCCCCATCCCCCCCACTACCACCACCCAAAATAAAACTGGTAACTTATCCTTGCTATTCTTTGGCATCAATACTTCCCTAAATCCAAAGACTATTCAGGCCAACTCTACTCACTCAAGTAGTATTCCTGGTTAATAGGGATATTTTAAAGACTGTAATGTTATAGACACTAACATGTGAGACTCAATGACAAAACTGAGTATGATCTAGGAGAGATATATACATATATATAGGAGATACATAGGTGTACATGTGTGTGTGTGTATACACGCTATGATATATGACATAACACAGTCTACAAAAGGGACTCAGAGAATGACTACTGTTTTGTCCTGCAAAGGAGGCATCATTCCAGCGAAAGGCCTAAACATGTTACTGAGGTGGGCTTCAACTTCCCTTCTTTGCTAACACTTGAATTATTTTTTCATGACGTAGGTTTATTTTTAATTATTTGGGTCATGCATGTTGAGCGCAGATGCCGGCGGAGGTCAGAGGCACTGGCTCTCCTGGAGCTGGAGTCAACAGGTGGTTGTGAACTGCCAGACTTGTGGGCTGGGAACCGAACTCAGATCCTCAGCAAGAGCAGCAAGCGCTCTTAGGCGCTGAACCATCTCTCCAGCCCAGACCTGCATTTTTATTTACACGCTGGTTACTTTCTGATAAATGACTGGAGAGTGTGCAAAGCCGACGACTCGCTTGGTGCCAAAATCGGAACGCGCGCTGCCTGGCCCTGGGCTCTGCTTAGGGGGCCCGCGTGGGAACCCCAGCAGCCCGGAGGGTTCCGTAGAGCTGGCCCAGCACCCCGCCCTGCCCGGGTGGCCGCGCCCGGTACCTGCTGGATCTCCAGCTCCATGTCGGGCTGCTGGCGGCCCAGCAGCTTCATGGGGAAGGCGGTCTGCGGAAGCAGCACCGTGTCGCGGTATCTGCCGCTGTTCGGGCTGCTCTGAGGGCTCTCCGCCCCTGCCACCGACCGCACCACCAGTCTCCGATACCCCAGGCGGTCGGGAAAGCGGGCCGCCCTCCAGAAGCTGCCGGCGGCGGCCAGCGCCGCCGCCCCGGGCCCCTGAGGGCACAGCCCCCAACGCATGGTGGGCGAGCAGGGGACGCCTCGGCGCGGGGCGCGCGGCAGCCCGGGATCTAAATGCTGGAACCCCCGGAAAACTCAGCCGCGTAGGACTGCGCACGCGCGCGGGGCGGAAGGGGCGGGGCCTTCCGGGTTGGAGGTCGGCGCCACTCCTGGTCCTCCCCCCAGGTCAAGCAAGGGTAGAGAAGTTGTGGGCCGCGGTCGTTTAGCTCTCTCTGGTCAGAGACTTTAGTTAAGCAACTTGTCCAGCGTCGTAAACATAACTAGTAGCAGGACTAAAACCGTGCAGTGGTGGCGCAGGCATAAAATCCCAGCATTCGGGAAACAGAGTTCAGGGGATCTACCAGTTCGAGGGCAGCATGGTTTATCGTAGAGTTCCAAGACAGCCAGGGCTACACATGTTACACAGCTGTTATTTTGCCATTCCTTCACTACACTTAAAAAAAAAAAAAAGTATAAAAGTTGGTACAAGTTAAGATAAAGTAGAAAAAAGGCAAAAGGTAAGCATTAACAAAAAAAAGCCAACGAATGTAAAAAAAGATGCTCAGTTTTGGGAGCAAAGAAGACACGTTCATCTCATAGAACAAACATAAAGAAGTTTGCTAGCAAGTGTTGGGAGAGTGGGAAAGGAGACTGCTGGATGTAGTGTTCCGTGTGTGATGCCTTTTCCTATTTCCATGTGTATGTGTGGTAGTGTGTGTATGCATGTTTGCATGCGTGGATTCACATGTGTGTGGGTGTGTTTGCACGTACATCCTAGATTGAGGTTAGGAGTCATCTTCCATATCTCTTCCACCATACTCACAGAGTTAGGGTCTTTAATCAAAGCCAGAAATCACCCATATGGTTAGTCTCACTAACCAGATGGCTCTGGGGAGGCCAGGCTTCTCCAGCTGGACTTATACCCAGAATTTAAGTGGTTTGTGAGTCCTCGTGTTTGCATCGCCTTGGGATGCACTTCATCTCTGAACGGCGCTTTCCCATCTGGGAGCCTTACTGATGGCTGTCATCTCACTGCAGCGGGAAAATGCATACGCTGGGACTCCCCACCCCTGACACCACACACACACACACACACACACACACACACACACCCCTCTACAGAACAACTTGCTTCATTCATTCAACTCTGCTGTTTCCTGGGAAACCCTAGGAGAAGGTACAATGCAGAGTGCGCCTGTGGACCCTGCATTTCGCTGACTGAGCTATATGCATGAGATAGATTTTATTTGTGCTTATTTATGGCGATTATTTGACAATTACAATGTATTTAGAAAAAACAACGTATGAGGGGCTTTTTGTTGTTGTTTTTGCTTTTCGAGACAGGGCATCTCTGTGTAACAGCTCTGGCTGTCCTGGACCTTGCTTTGTAGACCAGGCTGGCCTTGAATGCAAATGCCTCAGTGTATGGTTATATATATATTGGTTTTTCGAGACAGGGTTTCTCTGTTGCTTTGGAGCCTGTCCTGGAACTAACTCTTGTAGACCAGGCTGGTCTCGAACTCACAGAGATCCGCCTGCCTCTGCCTCCCGAGTGCTGGGATTAAAGGCGTGCGCCACCACCGCCCGGCTATTGTGGATACTTTTGCCACACACAAAAGGCATGTCTGTGAAGAAGCAGCTGCCATATGCTCTCGCTGCCATGGAAACACCTAACTCCATGTCTTCCCTGCAATGATGAACTCTGTCTCAAACCATGGACCAAAATAGCCCTTCCTCCCCCTAAAGTGTTCCTTGTCAGATTCTTGGTCCCAGCAAGGAAGTAAGTAACTAATATCCCATTGTACTCCGGCACCTGAGGGCTTTTTGTTTTGTTTTATTATTTTTCATGTCCTTATTTTAACTGTGAGAACAATAACACTTATGAATGACTAAAATGAAAATAACTACAGATGGGCCCTGCCAAAATTCACATTTTGTGTTTCCCCAAGGTTTATGTTAAGATTCTAAGCCACAGTGGTGGTATTTAGAGATGGGGGGTCTCTCAAGAGTGGTTAGATCGGGGGCAGTCCTCAGCAGTGGAGAAGGTCCCAGAGAGCTGTGTGCCCTTCATCCTATGACAAGGAGAATGTACCATCTATGACCAGAAGATAGACCCCTATCAGACAGTGACTCTGCCAATGCCTTGCATGACCTTGGACCTCCCAGCCTCCAGAATGCCTTGAAATAAATTACTGTTGTTCATAAACCACACACAAAAAGGCATGTCTAAATTCACAGAGTAAATGAAATAAAGTTTAAGTCTTTTCCAACCACAGCTATATGCAAATGGTATATGTTGACATTTCTCGCCGGTGAAAATAGGGGTGTGTTATGGCTTGCTCATGCCTGTTATCCCAGTATATAAGCTGAGGTAGGATTGCCATGAGTTCGAGGCCAGCCTAAGTGAGACCCTGACTCACTCTCTCTCTCT